AGGAAAAAATAAGAAGCACATACTACTTGGTGCTCGCTGAATATCTAAGAGGGAGATAGAGAAAGGAAGGAGAGATGGATCACTGATGGGAGATGGGAGCATGGCCTTGACAGAAAAAAGGATTTTTTTTCTTACCAGATGAAACAATATTTTATTTTATTTTTTCCTGAGCGGTTTTGATGGTTTCTTTCCAAATGTGAGTAAACAAATCAGAAACTAGAAGAAATTATTGTGTGAATGGAATTTTCATCATTTACATTTTCATAAAAGATTTTTATTTCAGAAAAGTTTTCTGAACCACTCTAGTAGCTGGAAACATGAAAGTACCTTTAACAATACATCCTTGCACATACACAATAAACAACTCATATCTCCGAGCCCTTACTACCTACCAGGCACCTTCTGGTCACTGAGCATGAACTTGCTTTAAATTAGCAGGTGTGGTGCCCATCAGGAACCTCAGGAAGCCAGACATAGCACAGAGGTCAGAGCAGCATCAGGTGACACGCAGGTGCAGAGAGTGATCACGTGATGGTGATCACGTGATGACAACCACGTTAGAAGGGGAAGCTTGTCAATGCACCACCTTTGGGTGAGGATCCAGAACCCAAGTTGTTCAACTGAAGGATACCAAGCAGCAGATGGCTGCGTATTTCTGGAAGTCGCTTTCCCGCCTTTCCATCAGAATCTGCGTGGCGCCGCCTCCCATCAGGGGAGAGGAAAGGGGGCTGCACCCGGGCTTCCCGGGCTCCCTCCTCCCTCCCCAGTCCCCCCAGCCCCGTCCGTCTCCAGTCCCTTCCGTCCCTCCAGCCCTGTCCGGCTGTCAGCCCCTAGCCCTATCTGTCAGTTCCTATAGCTCCCGTCTGTCCCCCCAGTCCCATCCATCTGCCATCAAAGGATTTATTTTCCCCTGCAAAGCCCCAGTAGATAGTTGTATGTCATAGTTGCACAGTCTTCTAGTTGCTGTATGTGGGACGCGGCCTCAGCATGGCCGGAGAAGCGGTGTGTCGGTGCGCGCCAGGGATCCGAACCGGGCCGCCAGCAGCGGAGCGCGCGCACTTAACCGCTAAGCCACGGGGCCGGCCCTATCAAAGGATTTTTGATTACAGTTGCATCGCTTAACGATGGGATATGTTTGAAGAAATGTGCCGTTAGGCGATTTCGTTGTTGTGCGAACATCATAGAGTGTACTTACACAAACATATGTTTTTGCCAACTACACACCTAAGCTATATGGTACTAATCTTATGGGACCACCATCGTATATGCGGCCTGTTGTTGACCGAAACGTCACTACACGGTGCATGACTGTAATGAAGAGAAGGAAGGGACAACATTCTGCCCACTCCACCAGGGTAGTTCTTGGAAATTTCCTCTGCTTGCCCCACCAGGGTGGTTTCTAGAGAGGCCCTGAACAAGTCCCAGCCCTTCAGTACCCAACATTCCGTGGCTAATTGGAAAAACTCATTGATATTAGGTTTGCCACTCAGAACCCTGATGTTATGCCAATCTGAGAAGCCACCAAACATCTGATGAATCCTCCCACTGAAAAATACTTAGAGAAGACCACGGAGCCTCCTCCTGTCTGCTGAGGGAGACACACAAACCATCCCAGACATTTTTCTCTTTCACAAATTTCTCCTCATTCTGACGGGGCTTAGCTGGCAACGTTCCCATCCCTCCCAAGGGCCTGTGCTGCCCAGGGACACCATTCAGAGAAACGTTGTCGTCTCCACACCTCTCCAGAGACCAGGATGGCATATGTCAGAGCACCTTGGTTCCTCCCTTCTCTGGGGTAGAACAAGTGGACAAGTTTCAGAGAGGGTAAACATTGGCATGTGGAACCATTCCGGGGACAAGAAGTCTATTTGTTTGGTGTTCTGGGAAACCAACAAGAGGAAACGCATTTTAGCCAGGAAAGAAAAAAAAAGTTACCTGTCTAGCTGTGAATGACAGCCAAGCCAGTGGGAGATAGATGCAAACAGATAGCTGAGAAAAGGACTGGCTAAGCTTCCAAGGAAGATGGCCTCTGAAGTGGTGAGGATGGCTGGGACGCCATGGCCCAGTGTGAGAGCTATAATCACCTCATACAAACAGAGTGGTCACTTTGCCACTGACCGTGAATGTCCCTTTGATCAGCCAAAGGTTTTGTATGCAGCATTCAGAATTCTACTTCTGGAAGGGGATAGAGGAGAGCCAACCATGGTCAGCCTCATATATAGACCGTGAATTCCTGGAACATATGTCAGTGTGTGTGTGTGTTTGCACGTGTACTGCCATGTGCCAGTGATGGACTTTATCTTCGTTGGATACTCTCTGCTGCTGTTGTTACTAAAATAGCTTGGAATCTCTGGACTGATATATGAGAAGCTGTTGGCCTTTTTAGCCTTCTACTGGACTTTCTGTCTTCCAGTCTCCATACAGGCCAATTTGCCATTCCCTAATGGGGAGATATCTAACTACTAAACAGATTTAACTAGACAGAGATAAGTCCATGAAAACACGTCATCAGGTGTCAGCATAGCTCTAAAAATACAAATTAGCCATAGGACAGTTTCATGTCCACCATGACTGCCTCCAGGTATGCTTCATGCCAGGAATAAAGAAGGACCATAGCGTCTGGATCCGACACTGCCCCATCTCTGCCCATTACAAAAAGGTCAAACCTAGGACGTATCACATCTTGTCATGATGTGATCAAGACCCAGGGACAGTCAGACCTGCATTTTGCTGTTACCCTGACTCCAGTAGCTCATTGTATATTGCACATAGGAAGGCAGTGTTCTCTTGTAGGGTCTTCCATAAGAAAGTTCCATTTTGAAATCATTCAGAATCAACTATGTCAAGACCCATCTAGGGCCGGCCCGGTGGCTTAGCGGTTAAGTGCGTGCGCTCCGCTGTTGGCGGCCCGGGGTTCGGATCCCAGGCGCGCACCAACGCACTGCCTCATGCTGAGGCCGCGTCCCACATACAGCAACTAGAAGGATGTGCAACTATGACATACAACTATCTATTGGGGCTTTGGGGAAGAAAAAAAGGAGGAGAATTGGCAATAGATGTTAGCTCAGAGCCGGTCTTCCTCAGCAAAAAGAGGAGGATTAGCACGGATGTTAGCTCAGGGCTGATCTCCCCCAAAAAAAAAAAAAAAAAAAGCTGTCCATCTAAAGACGCAGCTTTGGGGCCCGCCCGGTGGTGCAAACAGTTAAGTGTGTGCGCTCCACTGCGGCGGCCTGGGGTTCGCCAGTTCGGATCCTGGGCGTGCACTGATGCACTGCTTGACAAGCCATGCTGTGGCAGCATCCCATATAAAGCGGAGGAAGATGGGCACGGATGTTAGCCCAGGGCCAGTCTTCCTCAGGAACAAAAAAAAAAAAAAGAGGAAGATTGGCAGATGTTAGCACAGGGCTGATCTCTTCAAAAAAAAAAAAAAAAAAAAAAAAAGATGCAGTTTCATTAACCCATAAAGCATGAAACCTGGAGGCAAGAGCCTTGAGAGCAGGCTTCAAAGTTCAGGGAATGGTCAGATAAAGAAAAACAACACTTGGCTGAGATGCAGAAATGTCTTTCAAAGAAAACAAGAAGAGCTTGAAGTCCCTCACTCACCTTTCCCGGACAGCTGCCTTCTGAGAAGTCCAGCTCATTTGCCTGGACTCATCATAAAAGAAGCAGGTTTTAACAACATTCCACCAGCTGGAGAAAAGGGATATCACTTTTTGGAAGGTAAACCCAGGGGTTTGGCTTTTGGTTGATGAATTTCTGACAGTCCCCAGACTATTTTCAACCCAAAGTATAATTTCATAAAGAGGCTTACGTTTTAATTGTCTGTCTGTAAAATACACTTTCATGAAATTTTGTTTTCTCTATACCTTCCTGTTTCCTTTCTGTATGGATTTAATGACCTTGGAATTTCAAAGTCACTGAGGTAGGGATGGTATATAACATTATACTTGGGCTTTTTTTGTGTGTCTGTGTGAGGAAGATCAGCCCTGAGCTAACATCCATGCTAATCCTCCTCTTTTTGCTGAGGAAGACCGGTTCTGAGCTAACATCTATTGCCAATCCTCCTCCTTTTTATTTTCCCCCAAAAGCCCCAGTAGATAGTTGTACATCATAGTTGCACGTCCTTCTAGTTGCTGTATGTGGGACGCAGCCTCAGCATGGCCGGAGAAGCGGTGCCTCGGTGCGTGCCCGGGATCCGAACCCGGGCCACCAGCAGCAGAGTGCACGCACGTAACCGCTAAGCCACAGGGCCGGCCCTATACTTGGGCTTTAAATCAATAAGTTCCCAGATATTGGTGTTTTTTAATGGGCCGCCCTATAGAAGGCATGAAGTCATAGAATTCTAATAATCATCTAAACCAACAATCCATTTTGCAACTAGAGAATATGAGGCACCAGAAGTGAAGTGGCTCGCTCAGAGCCGTACAGTGACAGAGGCGAGGACTTAACCTACCACCTTGACGACAAGTCCAGGGCTCTTCTCACCTCTCCGGTGGCCAAAAAAGGGGAAGTATTTTGAAATTTTGACTAAAAAAAAACTCAACGTTTTTAACCACTTTAAACCCAAAAGAAGAATTTATTGGCTTCCACAATGGATTGGGTGGAAGGTAAGGGAGGGATGGGAGGACAGTGAATAAATGAATGAAGAAGAAAGCCACCTAATTGTTCCTAATTTTAAGAGCTATTCAGATCCCATTACGGGCTTAAAAGGGACAAGCCTGCTCAGAGATTGGAGTTTTGCCTTCCATGACTGCAACAGGACCATGTATTTAACCTGGAAAATGGGAAGATGAGCATCTGCTTCAACCAGAGCCAGTGATATTGCATCAACCAATCCCTGCCATTCTGTAGTTTCCTCGTGCATCTGCCTGGAGTCACAGGGTGTTTCCTGCTGAACCTGAGCGTCTCCTCCAAGCCACATCAGCTTTAAAATCCTTCCTCTGGGCCTTTCCCAGAAATAAATTCTTGGTAAACGGTATAAAAGACAGCCAACCCCTCTCATTCTGCAGTTTCCTCGTTCATCTGCCTGGAGTCACAGGGTGTTTCCTGCTGAACCTGAGTGTCTCCTTCAAGCCACATCAGCCCCTCAAAATCTTTCCTCCGGGACTTTCCCAGAAATAAGTTCTCGGTAGAAGGTATAAAGGCTCCTCCAAGCAGAGCAACTCCCCTGGCTGCCACAGGAGGCAAGGCACTTGGCAGGTAAGACTCTAACGCTAGTCTTACTGGTTTCTGCAAAAAAATTTCCTTAAGGCTTCTCAGAAAACTCGGTGCTAGATTTAGACTTGTTTTCATGGGGCATTTTCTGGTGCCAGATTTAGGGAGAATGATTAAATCCATTGTGGGGCAAGGAGGATTTTCTGAGTCTGAAAACTGATTCACAGACTCATAAACTCTTAAGGCCATAAGGTACCATAGACCTCTCATCCATCCTGTTTAAGAACTGAGACCTGGGCCGGCCCCGTGGCTTAGCGGTTGAGTGCACGCGCTCCGCTACTGGCGGCCCTGGTTCGGATCCGGGGCGCGCACTGACGCACCGCTTCTCCAGCCATGCTGAGGCCGAGTCCCACATGCAGCAACTAGAAGGATGTGCATCTATGACATACAACTATCT